AGCCCTTGTATTCTGTTGCGCAAGTTAAAAATATTAAGACCTTGAACACAAACATCAATTTTATTACCACTGCAAGGTTCAAAGACCCATAGAGGGCAATGGATAAAGTTTTACAGTACAGAATTACCAGACCGTACGCTATAGAATTAATGATAAAATTGCTTAAATAAAAATATTGTCCGAAAACTGATTTTCCACAACCTTTGAAAGGTCTGCTAAAAATGGTTGAGGAATCAATAGTTAATATGCAAGCCAGTCACAACAATGGAATACATTACAAGAACCTAGATAAGTCCACTCTAATTTCTTCTGTTAATCCTAGTAGGGTGCTTACGGCTTATCAGTAAATCTTTAGAAAAGCTTATTTCAATTCTCTTTGAAGTCTTCCAATAACCAGTACTAAGTCACGTTTAGTTTATAAATGACGTGAAAATGTGAGATTTCATATAAATATTCGTCAACCAGCAGTTTGAAGAGTCCATACTCGAGCTTCAGAAACAAGCTCCCAAGTGTGGTTTGGGGTTGAAGATGCCACAGGTATTCGTAGTTTGACAACGCTCTAACCAGTAACGCCTAATATGAATCGTAGCCACCAAGTGAAATCAAAAGACAGAAGCAGGGAGGTTCGAAGATATATTTGATAGGCTATCAATATATCGAGAATCGTCTGATCTAATCTGGCCAGAGATTGCAGGGGCTGTTGAGCACGGCGTTCAAACTTGTGATCTGGTGCAGATGTATGACCGGGTGCCCTCAGCTAGGTGAGTCCAGTAAAACCAATGTGGTCAGCATCCAATGTCGAAGACTTACAGAGCTATTTGTTTTGGGGATTTATTTTCCGCTACAGGGTCACCAAATTTACGTTGAGCTACTTGACTGACTTACTACCGTATGTAACATACAGAATCAGGCGATTTTGATAGACCGTGAAGAAAAACACTTCTATGTAAGTGTACTTTTGATAAGGAAAAGCAGTCTAGAATTTCTTGTCATATTTCATAGCCTTAACAGTCGATACGTCAAAACGAAGTTAGTATATATGTAGGTCTTTCGTAAGGACAACAGTGCATAAAGATAAATCAGTTCTTGTGGTGGAAAGATGGAAAAAACATAAAGGAGGACTCATTTACACGTAACACCAATATAATCGAAGGACACCAAATCAGTCAAATCACAAGTCAGGGAAGAAGGGGTTCAAAGTTACCGATTGTTGGGAAGCGTTTGGTCTAAGCTGGCTAGTTGTTGTGAGAGCTGCTTACCAAGGTGTACCCAATCGTAATATGGTGTGAATGCGTGAGTAAGCGTCTTCAAGTAGAGTTTTCCTAGCAAAACTCATACGGTCAGCATCAATGTTGAAGATTATTGATTTTGGGCAGTGCTGAACCAATTAATCAAACTAATGTCACTATATGAAGTGTCGATGAGTTAGGACTAACCAACACTAACAACACAAAGTGTTCTGCTTCGGTCTTGCTGCACCACTTGGTCAACTTAATGTGCACTGCTTGCGGAATTTTATTTAATAACCGATTACATCAACTATTTTAGAGAACATGCTATAGTGTTTAGGAGAGCATGCCAGATCACTACATATCCCAACGTAAAGTTCCATGTTCTGGCGAGATTAAAATTCACTCACTTTCTGTTGTGTTTTCTTGCCTATGAGGTTGATGATGTCACAGGTATTCAGTGTTTGACAACGCTTCTACCAGTAACACCTTCTAATATATTTCGTTCCCGCCCAGAGAAATCAAAAGACAGAGTCGAGGAGATCGGAAGAGTGTATTTGGCGATGACCAATATATCGGAATTCTCTGATCTAATCTGGCTAGCGATTGCGGTTGATGTTGAGCACGGCGTTACCACACGTGATCTGGTGCGGATGACTGACCGAGCGCCTTCAGCTAGGTGAGTCCACTAAAACATATGGTCAGCATCCAATGTGTTGAAGACATTGCGTCGATAATGTTTCGGCACGATTGGGCGATCCCTACCTGTAGATGTGTCACAAAGTAAGGTTTCCTTACCTGTTCCCATCTGTTTGATGCGTAGTTTAAGTGTTGTTGACGATAACTCGTGCTGAAGATCACTGTCTTCTTTTTGAAGCTCGGCGAGTTTAAGAAGGTCGATTCCTTGGAAACTGTTCAAGGAAGTTATGCGAGATAAAGCGTCTGCAACTACATTGTTTGCTCGAGAGATGTGTTGAATGTCTGAAGTAAACTGCGAAATGTAGTCCAGTTGTCGAGACTCATGGAGAGAGTACTTGTCAGAAGGAGAGCTTAACGAGAAAGTGAGCGGTTTATGGTCCGTGAAAAGAGTGAATTCACGACCTTCGATGTGGTGTTGGAAATGCCGTACAGCACAATACATAGCTAGGAGTTCCCTACCGAATGTGCTGTACCTCGATTCGGTGTCTAGCAACCTTCTAGAGAAAAATGCCAAGGGTTGCCAGGAGTTGTTAACCCATTGTTGTAAGACTCCTCCGATTGCCGAGTCGGATGCGTCTACTGCGATGCTAATGGGTGCTCGGGTGTCCTGATGTGCGAGCATTGTTGCTTTAGCAATCAGTTCCTTAACTGTGGAGAATGCTTTTCGTGCGTTGTCGTCCAAATTAATGGATTTCGCATTTCCACGAAGTTGGTCGGTTAGAGGTTTCATAAGTAATGCGCATTTCGGTATGAAACGTCTATAGAAACTTACCAGGCCGTTAAACGTGCGTAATTGCTTGACGGTGGTCGGTTCTGGGTAATCCAGAATGGCCGCCACTTTGGTCCTAAGAGGTCGAATGCCTTGAGCATCGATAGTGTGTCCTGTAGTCGTGATGTGATGTGTAACATTGCTGGTTACACACGGTAGTTTCGGTTGAGTTTGTTGTATCCCAGGGTACTTATCGAGTAGTGGTTGATAGAGTGGGTCTATCATATGTTTAACTGTGACTGGGGATACTCTACAACCAGTAAAAGAAGTTACGCAAACGGACAAATTAGTGTTTCCGTCTACTAGCCTCCGTTTGCGAGTGTCGATGATCAGATTGTGGTGTTGTAGAAGGTCCATACCAATGATTGGCATAGAAACATCTGCAACAACGAAAATCCAGTGGATGGGTTTGCGTAAACCCACGTTAAGGTAAACGTACCTTTTGCCATACGTAGCGATCGGTTTTCCGTTTGCCGCCTGTAAGTTTAGGGTCGATTCGTGTAGTCGGTCGTTAGGATTTGCTGGGAGAACGCTAACTTCTGCGCCAGTGTCGACGAGGTAACGAACTCTCGTTGTCACATCTGTGACGAATAACAGACGGCTTTGTTCGCCGGCTACGGTTGCCGTTAACGCGTGCCGGCTTGGAAGTTTCCCGAATTGCTTTTCGAATCAGTCGGTTTCGTGTTGGGAAAATTGCAGGGTTTTCTGCAATTTCTGGAAAGCTTTCCATACTGGTTATGATACCAGCACCAGTCGGGGTTATCTGTCTCTCGTGGTCTAGAGACAGATCGCTTACGAGAAATGTTTCTACGTGGTGTGCGCGATCTCTTACGGTCGTTACGAAGACTAAGATAACGCGTGAGTGTGTGACATAAGTCGGTTATATCATTCTGAGTCGTTTGAGGTTTTTCTTTGACTGAAAATACCTCGGTAGTAGATTTCGTAATTTCTAATATGCGGTCGGCAGATGCAGCTAGCTCGTCTAAGGCATTGTTCTGGAACGAGACCAGAACTGCTTGCACCTGTTGGGGAAGTTTTGACAAGAAGAGTTGTTTGAATAGGCCTTCGTCGAAAGTTCTTGGGCCTATTACCTCTCTCATCCGTTGCAACATGTCTGTCGCAGAACCGTGTTGCAGGTCGATATTGTTGAAGAGTTGATCTAACCTTTGTCGATCGGTTAGGTCTCCTCGTTTAAGAATCGAGCGTTTTAAGATTTCGTAAGGATCGGAAACATCACTAGTAAACATACTAGGTGTTACGTACCTGTTGAATTCGCGCGGTAGTGCCTTGACTACTGCGAGGAATTGTGCACGTGTGTCGATCACGCCGTGCTCGTGGAAGTCGGCTTCTGCGTAGCAAAGTCAGGCTTCGATGTTGTCGGGCCAGAAAGGCATGAGTTGAAACGAAGGCGGGGACAAAGTCTTAAGCTTGAGTACTTTAGGTGTCTGTTCAGTCATGATGAAGTATGAAGTACGATAATGAACAAGGGGAAAATATATATATCCAGGAAAAAACACGAAAAAAAATCACAATGTTTAAAAAAGTTAAAAAAATAAGGCAATGATATATAAAAATCCCAAAAAGGAACAGACTCACAGTTGCAATTAGGTGTACCAGATCACGTCGGGCTCACCAATGATGATGTCACAGGTATTCAGTGTTTGACAACGCTTCTACCAGTAACACCTTCTAATATATTTCGTTCCCGCCCAGAGAAATCAAAAGACAGAGTCGAGGAGATCGGAAGAGTGTATTTGGCGATGACCAGTATATCGGAATTCTCTGATCTAATCTGGCTAGCGATTGCGGTTGATGTTGAGCACGGCGTTACCACACGTGATCTGGTGCGGATGACTGACCGAGCGCCTTCAGCTAGGTGAGTCCACTAAAACATATGGTCAGCATCCAATGTCGAAAACTTAGTGCTATTTATTTTGGGGATTTATTTACCGCTACAAGGTGTTTAACAAAGCTTGGTGCTTACTAACTACTGCCTATCCATTAACCGGTCTTGTGTTAGCAACAGCAGAACTGGGGAACGTCTTGCATCTACTTCTGACGAAGAAAATTGGTAAGAATGCGAGCCTTTTGTCCGTCTGGACAACGAAGATATATGACTGTTGAAAATCTCTTAAAATTTATTGTTACCGTAAACTTCTAGTTGGAAGATATAGAAAAAACTAAAGATGGTATTATGCAATAAAATATTAGCAGTTCGCCTGAGTAAATTAGATTTTGGGTGAAATTGCTAATTTTGTCAAATTAATGAAAACAAAGAAAACTAAGCGAATTAAACATGTCTCAAACCGGTCTTGGCGGGTTTTCCGGAATTTCCGCCTCAAAATCTTCAAACTAAATTTTCCACGCATGGGGCAATAAGGAATTATTTTATCGCTTGTGGTTGTAAAAGGGTTATCCCTAAGTTTTCAGGAATTTAACAGACTATCGAATAAAGGATAATACTCATCGTCTTTCATGAATTCGGAATTTGTTGGCATCGGTGCTGTTAGGGGCGGAGAGAATGGTCCAACTGTTGTAATGAAAAATCAACTTAGTGAATCCACACGTTGTATACTAAACAGCGCACTTAGTAAGTTTTTTACTTTGGTGTTTTTTGTTTGTAATATTAGTGTCCACTGTCAGATCTTTGTTAAGGACGTTCGCTGTATCTGTGAGCAGACAGTCGCTTATCTCATGAAAATAGTGATTCTAGGCATATTAAAACCATACAGAAATGTAACAGCTGACATCTCGGTGACCAATAATCGTGTCAGCTGTCATTGGAAACACTCATTTAGGTCTCTGAAAGGGCAACTAGGTGAAAACATGATGTATTTCATCGTAGAAATAACCGGATAGGGACTCAGCGAATTTCTTACCTCTAGACAGTCCATTGTGATTTCTAGCCCCATCTTAATAGCATTTAGGATTTTCGAGCCAAAGCGTATTGATCGTTTCTTCCCAAGCAACGAATGCTCCATTGCATTAGTTTTTGAAAAACACAAGTGGTTTAGTTATAGTTACTAATAGTTTAACTAGTGGTTGCTAGTACTTTTGGGTAATAAAAGTATAAAGGACTAGGTAGTAACCAATGAGTAATGGTATTTATTTGTCCGGATTTTTCGAGGTGGCGACCTAAAGTCATGGTAAAGGGTAGATCAAAAAACCAATGCCAAGTCTGCAGATTGAAATGTATAAAGGGTCGCCCAAGTTCTATTTATTTACTGTATGCTCACCACCCAGATATAGTTTAAGTAAGAGGTTGACGTCTAACGAAATTAATAAAACCAATGGCCGACCCCGAGCTCCCAATTTTGGGGAAGTCCCCAACGTTTGGGGAGATGGCACACAAACCCCGAAATTTCCCAAAAATGTGCCAACTTTTCCCCAAAATTTGGAACTCGGGACATTAAAGTGCACAATTTCATTTGGCTGGTTTCATTGGTTAATTGACCAAATGTTTTATTTTTTATTTATTTAAATACATAAATATTGGTACAAGTGGGTACCAGATATATATGCACCACACTAATCAAATATTTACGTTCTGATATATTTTAAAACATACACCCACTTGTCGTCATTCGATTGTGGAAATATTCTACAACTTAAGAGCTTCAATCGACTCAATCTAAAGGTATTCTGATTATCGTATACTAAAAGTGTATATCCACCGACTAGGTGCTCTATTTTCACAGGACTAGTCGGGTTAGAGCTTACAACAAAACTGTGTATGCCAGATTTACTAATTGACTGTCGGGGCTGTCTGGGTTTTCAATGTGTTATAGCTTTGCTCCAAAGTCACTTCTTGGGGTAAACTTCGGTGAGACTATAATTTATAGATGACCTTTGAGCGACGCTAAAGTAGCCTTTAGAATGTCCATCTACACACTATGGTTAAATGAGAGTTATAAACCTGTGTGAAGAAGGATTTTGATTTACAGTTGGTGGTTAGGGTTAGAAATTAGATTTATGATTTTCATCATAAACTGACATAATCTAAAATGCCAAAACTCTATTTAGCTAAATGGATAAAAAAATTTCGCTCCGAAATTCAAAGCCTGTTATCGTAAATCAGATTGGTTCGTCCATAAATTACAGTCTCGCCTTAACTTCATTTCACCATATAGTTTAGCCATCAGTCTGCTTAAAGACTCTTCAACGTGGCGCTCATAGATCGTGACATAAGTTGTTATCTTCTTGCATCTTACTTTCCAATGGTTGTGAATTACTGAGTTCATGTTGATTATGTTTAGTACTATCGTCCATAGTAGATCACTACTTTTAGTTTCAGATGGGTGGTCAACTCTTATGTATTTCTTTTGCGATTTCCAGGTGAGCTTGATGATACTCCCGGTGTACCGTCAATGACCAACTGCCCTCAGGAAACTAAGAGAAAAGGCACCAAATTATCATCCAAGCATCAGAACCTTAGCAAGACAGATGAATTGTCTACCCGTCCTCAACCTCCATGTTCTGTTCGATTGATCGACGAAGAAGAACGTGTTCTAGTTAGTGAATTTCTTATATCAAAGATTTACTGTATCATAAAACTAGTCACTCATTCTTTTTCGGCTTCAAGCTATGGGAAGGTTTCATAAGGTTTATAAATAGTATATCCTCTAGTCTGTCCATTGATTCGTTCAAATTTACTGGGGCAAATTATACTTGGAGCGTTTTGTTTGCTTTGGCTGTTGTGTATGACTTTTTAATCGTATTCTTCATCGCGTATTTTTACGAGTAATCTCAGTTTTCTTTGATAGATTTGATTGTGCATGCGAGCTATACCCTCTGCAGCCTCATGATTTATAGATTTTATGTGTGCCTTAAACACCGTGTTAGTGGAGAAACTGAATGTATGTTTAAGCTAGGAAATGTTTTGATTATTTACTAGTCATTCGGCTAGTGGAATAAACTGTAATGGAGGATGATTCTAATTATACTGTTACTTTATCACGGAGGGTTGAATTGGTCTAATCATTAGTGAATAATAGTGTGTACAGGTTTACATACTACATGCTAAATGCTCTAACCAATAAATTACTCTCTGAGCAGTTCTGTTATATGGTTTGCAGCCAGGGTTTAAATTCACATGCTCATGATTAACAATTGTTTGCACAACGACATCTAATTATCCATATGTCAACCTAAATGCACAAAAGAAACAGGATGCTTTTAGTCTAAACAGCATTAATATTGTGTGTTCAATACGGCAATTCAGATAGTTATGCGCAACTTAGGACCTGGGACATATGTAGATTAGCTCAGGTCGCCACATCACATTAGCACAGCGCGATAAAATTACCAAGACAAATCTCAGATTAGTGGTAGTAACAACATCAGAAGTAGTGGGAACGACTTTTCATAGAACCAAGAAACGGTAGTTTTCGGAATTAACTGAAGTTGAAAAGTAAATAAACCTGAAGCATTCCAAACAGTTATGGACCATGTCACCAAACGTCTAAGTATTGGCCACGACAATCGCGTAGACCACAACCAGGTAATCTGGACCTACCTTAATGGCTCATTCCAACAATCGCTGACTTTAGAAACTGGCGCCACACCCTAGTTTGACCGCCTCCAACTTTCTCGTACACCCAACTTCATCGTACGTCGAGGTAGATGGTGGTTAGGCATACGTAATACCTGTCTACCTCACTTGGGAAGGACGCATTACCTCAACCGATTTGTTATCTTTACTTGAAATTCTACTTCTGACCTCAACATAGTCATTCAGTGGTTCAAAAATCCTCGACCAATATCTCAAGGACACCTAGAATCAGATAATAACAATCTACGAATGTCATCTATTCTTAATAAGCACATAAATTAGAATAGAGAGCTGCTTCACGGCAAACTCATCTTTCGGTTGGCAGATGGATATCTCACCTACTCCATAGGTGATGCGAATTGGGAAAGCTAACCAGACTTTCTGAGACCGTGCCAAGGATTCCGTCAGAGGCCTATCCACCTGGTCTTGTGGAGCATTCAAGATAAGTAAAGTGGTCAACTTCATCCACTTTACTATCATTAGTTTGTTGACTCAGACCGATTCTGAAGCGCTTTATGTATATATTCTCGGAAATAAATTGTAAATACAACTCAGGAACATTAAAGGTTCCTATTATTGAAGTAAACAAAGTGAAAATCAGTCCTGAACAAATGAAATTCAAGTCTTTTTGAGACCCGTTAGGTAGTCTAGTCCCGTTTTATTTTGTTTTTGACCTTTTTGTAGTGAAATATGACCATGGTAATTCGCGTTATTACAGCGTCATGTTTTTGCTTGATGACACTCATAAACTTACACTGTTCTAATTACCCGAGATATATATCACTTTGATGTCGACTTAAAGTGAAACATAGTGATTTGATAGATTTTGTATTTCATCGGCACTTCTTTGCGTGTTGTGTTCACCCACCCATATAATTCAAAAATTCATCATTATTCTCAATCAATTGCTCCATTAAATGAGGTTAAACAATGCTAGTGATTCCCTTGGACCAGTTGCTATCTAATCATATTATTTTACCTCATTGTATATTTATTTATTCTACTGCTAAATCTAACTAAAAACAACAGAAACGAACCGTTTCAAACAGTTATTCAAAGCTCAGGACATTTTCTCTGAATCACTAACAGCATTTTTAGATTTCAACAGTTTAAAAATCCCCATAGAATATTCAGAAATAAAGGATATTTGGGCGGACAGTTGTTTCCAATAACTTAATTATCAAGCTCTACAGTTTCAGGTCTATAATTATTGTGATATTTTATTAAGGCCAGAATAGCGCATGCATTAATGAATTTGACAATGTTTTGCGTTAAAAATAGTGGACTCTTTCATCTGTTACGATATAAATACTTCAAGATAGTGTCATTATCTTATGTAGACGACAGAAGGGTTATCATTACCATTATTACTTATGTTCTCATGTTATCATACCCTTTTATTATTCTTCATATATATTTTTGCTCAGCTATTTCGTTACACACATTTGTGGTTTGCATACTATCTATGAACAGCTAAAGCTCAGGTCACTTTATATGAGAAGAAAAATTAGCACTACAATTTTACCTTATTTGTTTAGAATTCTGTTGCATACTGACTTCATATTAGTTAGTCTTTAGGTAAGAGTCATAATGTAAAGTTTAGCTGTCATCCTCATAGCTTACAATTGTATATAATCGTTAAGTTATTGTCGATCAAACTATATTTGCATTAAACTTAATACAATTAAATTTTCTTTAATGTCATCCGTTATTTTACAATCATAAGTTAATCTGACTGGTGATAAATTTGTACCATTGAAACGTAACACTTCTTAGTGAAGAATTTATCTTATTATTCCTAGTATGAGTGTGTTTACATAAATGCACATTTCGAATTGCCTTAAATAAATGGTAGGTACGTGATTTATCACATTTATTACCAACTATCTAAATGATTATTATTATTATTATTAATATGTTTATAGTTAGGTGAAATTTCTTATTTAATGTCATGTGAATTATTTGAAATATTGATTCAATATAATTAGGTTGGTTCCTAACTTTATGATTCGGTAATTTTTTCAAAAAGGCATTTTTTATATTTAAGGAAACAACAGCTGTGTGGCTCATGGGTATTTCGACAGTGTTACATATTTTTAGAGGTGGCATATTGTACCATTCTTATTCGGTTTTATGTTTACTTTTACTGTTCAAAATCCCTTGGCCATACTGAGTACTAGTAAAGACTGCTTGTAATCCTTAGTGTTCTATAATTGAGTGATGTATTTCTTCATCTACCCTTTGTGCAGAGTTTTCATATTCAACAAAAAATGAGAAACTTTGCCTCTTGATTATAACATTTTCTCCAATTACATTTCACCACACAATTTTGATAAACAGTAAGTTCACAGATTCATTTTATAGCTTGGTTTGGCCACTTCATTGTTTTACTCATTGGCCCTGCTGAAACTGGTGAACACATGATAATGTTGGATTGAGATTTGACACATTTACACTATTTTACTCGGTAAAAATGAATATACAACCTTAAAAATACTAACTCAGTGGTTCCATCTCAGACGAGTGTTGTTTTGAAGCATCAATAAAACTAAATAAATTCGCAATAAATATTTTTCTAGAACCTTATTTGGCAATTATCTTATTGTAAATTTGGTTCTATCACTTGATATCTCAAGAAGATGAATCATTGAAAAAAAACTGGTGTATGGAAGGTCACCTAAATTAGTAGGTTTTTGATACTTGGTTAAAAAATAGTAAAATAGACACTTGTAACGATCAGTACTTATCACGATGACATTAGATAAAGACTTTCTTTGAGTCGTAATGATGAATACCTAAGCAGAATATATTTTGTCTCTCTGACGCGGCTGTAATTGTCATCACCTGAGTAGTCGTATTTTAATTCAAGGTCATAGAATATAGGTGACCTATTTTTGGAATTTGGCACTTGATGATCAATACGGTTTTGATTGTAACTCGAGTCTATTTGGATACCTTATGTTCGTTGCTTCAGTGCCTCACCCTAGACATTAAATAGTGTTTGTATCCTACCACTAGTGAGTTCTTTGAACTCATTTGGGACTAAATCAACTGGTTTGGAAAGTTTTTAGAGCTTATTTATAGTTAATCTTTTGAAGGAGTTCGTTTTGTGATCCAGTCATGTGAAATTGTGTACAGTAAATGTTATTTCAGCTTTTTGCCCTTTTGCTGTCAAATCCTGTCATTCCAGTTTGAAGATGCAGACGTTTTGGCTTGGCATTTGGGTTGCCCTGCAGATAGAACAGTAAAACTTATCGCTATTGTTGGAAATACAGGTGATGGGAAGTCACATACTCTAAATCAAGCGTTTTGCGGCGGTGCAGATGTATTTGTCACCTCGCCCTCGCAAGCCACGTGTACAATTGGAATATGGGCCGCCTATCTACCTAAGGAGGGCTATCTTCTCATAGATACTGAAGGTGGGCTATCAATTTTCTTCTTCTTCGTAATATAAAATTGAATTTATTTATCATTTCTAAATGAAAATAGCAGACATTATGGCGATCGACAATGTTTCTTATGCATATTTATTTTGTAAAGCATAATCTCTTTAGCCTATAATTTTTAAAGTAACCACGTGATTTCTTCCAGTTGTTTTTCTCTGTGCAATATGAACACACAAAAGTATATGTGACGGTGGTTTAGTGTGTTTTATTCTATATAACTCAGGAAATTAGATTTTCACAGCTGAAAGTGAATAATAGCTGTAATCAATCCTCTCGGACAATCAAAAGAAAGGAAGAGTTTTGTTTAAAGTAGTGACCTTTGTGGTTTTGTGTTTCTTGATCTAAACGGTTTAGCGCTACTTGTCATCACTAATCTGTCCAAAATATCTAGCTCATGCCTCAGAAACAAACAGCTTTATTTGTTTTTCCACATTTGACAACTACCCATTTCACATAACATGAGATGTTATTGGATGTATCGTGAGCTGTCGTGGCTAGTCGACTTTTGATCTTGCGACAATTAAAGTGATTGTGTGTTTTCGTTGATTGGTTAGTTCCTTAGGACCATGTATAGATTTTTTCATACAGACGACCTGTTTACTTATAAGAGAGCAATTATACTGTTCAGGAGTCTTCCGTGATTACAGGTTTGATGGTAGAAGACATGCAAAAGTCGCTAGTATTTGATCATTGGTATGTAAGTACTGACGTGGTTGGAATTCGTATTGCACACCATTCCACCGTCTACTCCAACACCCGATGCTGGTTACGCTGAAAAAAGGCTTGGATTGCTTAATAGATACATAGCATAGTTCTATGGACCCGTTCACCGTTGGTCTAAGCTATTATGAAAAGCAAAGATCTAGTTACTATCAAAAAGATTATCGTAATCTGTAGTGTAGAGACCTCAGGTTATCTAATCCAAACTAACCACGATAGTTCAAATATATGTTTGTAATTTTCTAGAGTTTCGGGATTCAACATTACTCCGTAGTTTATATTCCTCGATCTGATCAGTTTCATTTCAATTATGTTATTTTCGTTTAATTTTAATGTTTTATATGAAACAATATTACCTGTTGATAAATATGGTATGGAGAAAGCTACCAAATAACTTACATTATATAGGAAAAATAGACATCATAATGGCAACACTTCAACAGTTTCTATTAGATAGATAGGTTAATCACGTGTACGTTAAAAGCTTTTCTTTGGGAAATTCTGTTGGGTTGTTTTAAAGTTTAGTTTTCTTAATGGTGTAAGTTCTCAATATAATATTGTAAATACCCTTGTGTCTTTTGCTTCTATCCTATCATAAATCTCAGTCGCTTTATTGGTATCAATTTGTCTATCGACAGGTTTCGACTGTTGTAGAACGTCCGATAAACAGATAGATAAAGTAATGTATATCCATCTTATTTTAATTATGATACTCTTTTGAACTGAATATTTTTGATATGTTTAGAACGTAGTTCTGATACTTTTAAATTGGTGAAAGTCACGTCACTTTCGATTAATAAAGATGTCAGTCATTTCCGAAATGTTTTACTGTCTTATAAAAGGGTTTTTTTCTGGCTTACATATTGATTATTATTCATTTTATTGTTAAATATGAATTATATTATTTTGAGTATGGTTTCGTACCTCACATACACTGGTCATTAGTCCTGCGATTTGGTCGATTGTATATAATGATACCTTTTTCAATTATTTCAAATATAGGTTTACTTGGTGCTAGCCCTAATCCTAATCGACAAAGACGTTTATTGTTGAAGGTTTTTGCATTAGCTGATGTTGTCATCTATCGTACTATGTCTGATCGTCTTCATAGTGATATGTTCACTTTCCTTGCGGATGCAAGCGATGCTTTTTCAGAACATTTTCGCCCAGATTTAGAAGCATTAGCTGAACGTACTGGTTTACCATGGACACCTGGTCAGCTAGGCCCAGTTGTTGTTATATTTCAAGAGACGCAACATACCCTCCCACTTGATGAACCTCACAGCATAGCTTCAGTGAACAATAATACATGCACTGATCGTTTGGGGTCTGCGGAACCATCTAATGAAAGAATGTCAACTTTAAGTAAGTTTCGAATTTTAGTTTTCCTGTGCATATCTAATACCTGGTAGTCGAGTTTCTGTATCGTTTGCAGTGTCACCGTGTTAAAGTAAACTTAGTGTTGGTAGATATCCCACTTTGAAACTTTTTATAGTTCAGGGTCCCTGAGTAGTATCACAACTCTCAAATTATTCATGATAATTGATATTGATGACAATCAACTATCCGTTTTGTCGACTAACGCCCACAGATTGCAGAGATTTATTTTATAGGACTTTATATCTCTTCGTATTTCCGTGATTTGTATTCTTTCTTGATCTATTGGGAATATTTGACTCAACTAACAGTTTGTTTATGTCAAAAGTATCGTCCTAATTAGATAGTTTTAATTCACTAAATAGTTACCTTCTGACATCTGTCATTGATCACGGGGTCTAATGTATCTGTTCCAAGATCATACATGCCCTTGAAACTTTTCAGCTTTAGTGTCCTCTTCTTGACTCAGTTTAACAACAAGTCAAACAGTCAAACGGTTCACATTATTATTATTATTTATTACGTCATTTATTCACTCTCTTTTATTCCCACTTTATGTATCCTTATTTTTCGACTAATACAAGCAGCTAGCCTATGGTGGAAACTCGGTTCTATCTAAACGTTCTCGAGTTACTGCCTGGTTGAAAATTGTATGCTACCAACAAATACGAATACTGAAGGAGTTTAGATGGTGGTTGGAGGCAGTCGACAGGAAACCCTGGACCCGGGTCTCGTGCTATTTGGCACTCATCAGCAAGGTGTACCTGTAATCTTGAGGGAACTGGTGCTCCCTGGCAGATTCGAACTCGTGTCACCCAGCTTCACAGTCAGAGACGTTACCACAGTTATCCGAGCCGCGACTGACCTGTAGGACTGAGATGTAATCACAATTGATTGATCACTGGGTGGCGATCAATGTCATGTGTGTCTAGTCCTTATTAGTGCAGATCGAATGCTATCGATTATGTTGCAATGTGGCCACCAATCTAGGTGACTCGACACTGCGGGCACTATATATTGATATTAGATGGTGGTTGGAGGTAATCGACAGGAGACCCTGGGCCCGGGTTTCTTGCTATTTGGCCGCAGTGTCGAGTCACCTAGATTGGTGGCCACATTGCAACATGATCGATAGCATTCGATCTGCACTAATAAGGACTAGACACACATGACATTGATCGCCACCCAGTGATCAATCAATTGTGACTGAAGGAGATTTTCTGAAACCACATACACCATTCAAACTGTCTGCCTTCAACGTTCGCGCACTTACGCAAGTCGGACAACAGATAGGGCTAGCTATGTCTTTGGAAAGTCTTAATATCAACGTTTGTTGTCTATCCGAGACCCGTATTCAAGATTCTAGTAATGTACTACAAATTCACTCTTCATCTTTCGCTTCAAAAAGCTTGTTTTACGTGCGTTTATCCGGGGACCCTGTGGCATCTTCATCTGGTCTTGCTGGCGTTGGTGTCGCACTAAGCGCTAGAGCTGAGGTAGCACTAATCGATTGGATCTCCATTAACAGTCGGTTATGTGCTGTTAGATTAGAAAGTTCCATCAAAGTGAGAAGAAATCGGCGTGAGAAACGATGTCTTTTCGTCATCTCCGCCTATGCCCTGACAGATTGCAGCCGGGTTACAATCAAGGATGAATTCTACCACCAGTTAACTGTTCTTCTCCAGAAAGTGCGTTCGACAGATATTGTAGTACTAGCCGGAGACTTGAATGCTCAGGTCGGGCGTCTAGGCACAGAAGAGAGTCGTTTAGGTGTCCGATGGGGACTCGTTGGTCGCAGGTCAGATAACGGGAACCGTCTACTGCAACTGTGCACAGACCACAACCTGTTTCTGGCTAGCACTAACTTTCGGCACAGTCATCGCCGATGTACCACCTGGCGTCCTACCTCTACATCTCAAGGCTGGACTCAGATTGATCACATCGCGATCAGCTACCGCTGGCGTGGTTGTGTACAAGACTGCCGCTCTCTTTGGAGTACCTATCTGGGCTCTGATCATGCCCTGATCTGTGCCAATCTTACCTTACTTTTCAGTGGCCAACGAAGTGACTGTCACCAAAGGATTGATATCAGCAAGTTGGCTGCAACTAAGTATCGAACCGAGGTAGTTTCTAAGCTAGCTACCATTCTGTCGAAAAATATGGATGCGCATTGGTTGCAAGTGCATGGCGCCATGAAAATGGCGGATACAGTCAGTTGTGGGTTCGCGAAACGTTCCGATTATAAGCACCGGGTTTCTGCAGGTTCCTTACAACTTATCGTCTGTCTACTCCGAGTGACCGTGAGTTTGACCACAAACGAAGGCTGTTACGTAATGAAATCGGGCAAAGCCTGCATAAGGACCGAGAAGCCTGGTGGTCGGAGCGTGCTAATTTGCTGGAAGCAGCAGCTGCATCTGGTAATTACCGGAAGCTCTTCCAACTAATCCGAGCCACTGGCAGCAAGAAGTCTGGTGTGAGCGAACTAATCTACGAGGATGATGGGATGTCAATCACTAACATCCATCGACGTCTTGGGCGATGGACAGAATTTTTCGAAGGGCAGTTCAACTGGCCTGCTGCTCCGGCAACATCGGTCAGACTTTCCTGCCCTCCATGGCCGGTGACGACTGATCCACCAAATGAGGCGGAAGTCCGCAAGGAACTCCAACTCTTGAAGCGCTACAAATCACCAGGCCCAGATGACTTACCTCCGGCTCTTTTTAAAGATGGTGGTGACTTTCTGGTTAAGGAACTGACAACGTTGTTTACAAAAGTCTGGAAACTAGAGAGTGTTTCAACACCATGGAATGAGTCGATAGTTGTCCCTATCTTTAGAAAGGGTCCACGTCGTTCCTGTAACAACTATCGGGGGATAAGTTTACTTCCGATTGCGTCCGAGCTATTGGCTTCCGTCATACTTCGTAGGTTGTTCAAAACCCGAGATTGACTCGCGAGACCAACAATCGTAATGTTTCTTGACATCAGGGCTGTCTTCGATTCGTTGGACAGGACTGTTCTCTGGAATTGTCTATTGAAGAAGCGTGTGCCTGAGAAGTTCATTAACATCTTAAAGGCCCTATATACAAACACCTCAGTTAGAGTGAGGGCATATGACCACCTTTCTCCATTGTTCCATTCGAGCAGTGGGGTTAGACAGGGTTGCCCAGTTTCACCATTCCTCTTCACCTTTGTCATCGATGACATTCTGGAAACAGCTCTGATGGATGTAAGTAATGGCGGTGTGCATCTATTGCCTGGAGAATTCTCGACCTTGGCTATGCGGGTGGTATTGTCTTACTGTGCGATAATGCCCAAGCCGTGCAATCCGCACTTAATCAGTCAGCAATGAATGTCCGTAGGTACAGTATGTGCTTTGCACCTTCGAAGTGCAAAGTACTTTTACAAGACTGACAGGATTCTAATCCTGTACTCACCCTGGATGGTGAGCAGATAGAAGTAGTCGAGAAGTTCATGTATCTAGGTAGGTGCATAAATACTGGTGGGAGTGTGAGTAATGAGATCAATGCACGTATAGTGAAAGCCAGAGCGGCTTATGCTAATCTGGACCATCTTTGGCGCCTTCGTGATGTCAGTCTGGCTGTAAGAGGTCGGATCTACAACGCTTTGGTGAGAGCAGTTCTGCTCTATGCTTGTGAAACCTGGCATCTCCAAGTTGAGGACGTTAGACGACTCTCTGTGTTTGATCATCGTTGTCTCCAAAGGATTGTTGACATCCAGTGTCAACACCATGTTAGTAATGCAGAGGTCCGGCATCGTGTGTTCAGGCACAGAGATGATAATTCAATTGGTGTCACCATCTTGAAACACTGACTTCGGTGGCTTGGACATGTTCTACGAATGTCGTCCCAGAGAATTCCACGTCGGGGATTGTTTGCCGACTCTGGGACTGTTTGGAAGAAGCGGAGAGGTTGTCAGTGTATGATATGGTGTCGTGGCATGAAAGAAAGCTGCAAAGGACTAGCTTGTGTTGGTCCTTCACGACTCCCTGGTTGGGGTCTGAGAGATGGTGCAACACAGTGGCTAGAGACCTTATCAGATGGCTCAGAATATAAGTCAGTGGCGATCCTGCTGTAACCTTCTTTTACTTTCTTCATAAAAAGTGGTTGTATCTTCCTTAACTGAAAGAATTCTTTTGGTTGTACCTCTCCGTTTCCCCCACTGTTATTACTATTATTATTACACTACCATACACTAATCTATGGTCGTTATTGTTCTCTTTTTTTCTTTTGCGCACCTTACATTCTTCTTCTCCTCCCATTCTCATTATTATTGCGTGGCGCATGTATATCTGGTGCCCCCTTGTATCAATATTTATGTGTTCAAATAAATAAATAACAACAATGGGGGGGGGCTGGATAGTACGTCATTTCAAAGACCTGTCCTGAAGATTCCAGTGGGTTACTACTATTTTTATTTTCCGTTTGTTTGTTCCTCAGGTTTTTGATGTGGATTTATCTATATATCCTGTGATATTCGTTCCTGACTTTGATGTCTTGGGTGGACCGTGTGTTAGTACGGAAAAAGTACTAACTGTAGTGAACGAGAACACAAGAGGGAACAGTCGAATGTATTTGAATGTAAAATTACAGAACATTTTATTAAAATTTGAGAACCATACTGTAAATACTTCATTTACAAAATGTCTATCAGTTGTCTTAAACTTGACTGTTCTTTTTGCACATGTCAATCAATCATCTCAAACTTCATTGTTCTTTCGATTCCACACCAATTATTCTTTGTTCTCGTTCTCTTTTCTTTGATCTTCTCAACCTTCTGCCGCCAGACACTTCACTTTCGTTTGTGATACATACTATTTATGTCTGTCGACATCAGTAGCACACACCACACTAACCAGTCTAATTCTCACTAACAATTACTTGTGTTACTGAAATTGAAGATTAGTAAACAATAAATGAGGCAATATGTTTTTGCTACTTTTACCCGCGCTACAGTAGTTCACATCACCATTGCAATTAAAAAACTCGTCCATTCTACTTTGTCTACTCAAAAAGTCACTCTCAATGGACATTTTGTAATTACAAAGGACTAGAATGGTCGTATGGAGTGTCCTTCTATACATGGGTCATTTCAGCGACCATTAGGGACTTGTTGGTTAGAGGTCAGATAACTATTATTCCGTTTTTAGAGTTTTACATACCGAATTCAGAAACAATCGTCACTACTGTTTTGCGAAGCGCTCTCCGTCTTTTTTTCATCGATCACTGCATTCGGTTGGCGTTCTCACTGGTGTGCTTTTCTGCAATCATACATTATTCGCTTCCAATCTGATTATGCGTTTTAAATGTTAACAGGTGAATGGCTCTTAAAGACAGGTGTAGTATTCTGGTCGGGTAGCTATTTGAATTGTCTGAAAATCGAAATTGGTTCATCACAATGGAGTAAATTTATTTCCACGTCTATCCTCAGGAAATGCCAACGTAATGTACAGGTTGGAGGTATAATGTTTGCTGCTAGTCTGTAAAATCTTCATTGATTATTCACTGATTTCATCATGAAACACCGGTCTGGTTGTCAGGATTTGAATGACCTTTTCTAAAGCTCTCTTGTTAAGCTGTCATCCTAATAAAATTGGATTAATAAGTGCTTCATAAGTGCCTGTTCTATTTCCTCATAATATCTTCAGTTCTGTGAAATAAATCAGTTGTTAATGATATTCTGTCGTGTACAGATTTCAGCAAGCTGGTTTAGTAAATTTTTGTATTTTGATATTTATATTCTGCATAAATTTATAGTTCAGTGTTATCGGTTATCTCAGTTTTGCAGAAAACTAGACACCTTGATTTTTTAATTACAATCTCTTAATTATACTCTTATTAGAGCTATCTTAGTATGTTGGTGGTAGATGATATATTTGTGAGTTATCGAAATTTCTCGCTTAATTATACTGTTATAATAATTCAACCTTATTATTTTAGTACAGATTTTGAGGTTCTTATTGGTTGTAGATATTGTTCTTTGTGATGTACTTATTTTCAAAACATGTATTTATTATCGTCTTTACGATTATCATTTTATGAAAACATAAAATAGGTTCAAGGTTTTTGACAGAACGCCTTGTAGCAATGAGACGCAACGCGAATGCATTTTCTTCACTTGTGTATGTTGGAACACAAACTAAAGTACCTCCAACAAATTTCCAGGTAAGAGTTCATAATAACCATAATCTTTTTATTATCATAATTAATTGTATTGTTGAGCGGCTACGTAATGACCAGAGTACTCAGCTCTCTGATCAATTATAGTTTTCGATTCCGTTACACATATGGGTTTTTTCGTCCAGCTAGCATTAATAACACTGAAAACCCATGAAAAGTTTTGTTGAAAGCTGAGTACATAAATATATACTTAGTTAGCTAGTCATATTGATTAGGACAATTTGGATACTCTAAACATTGTTTCCATGACCTCCGTTTGTTATTTTAACTGCAGAGTGGATAAATTTTTGTTATCATTGTATACAGTGTAAAGAATTTTTAGTTGGCATAAAAAATGACCTACCTAGCTTAACGAATAAAGAAGATGAGAAAACAACAAAATGACTTAAATGTACTTGAAGCTCTGTGTTCTTCAGATTGATCGCTACACTGATTCATTTCTCCCTTGTCATGTTAAGAACCATAGGTAATCAAAAAGATGTATAGTAAAGTGGATATCTTAACAGTGAAGCATTAACTATATTCATTATTTAGAATACAGAAAATATAATAACTGTTCTTTAGGCTTTACAAGATAATAAGAGAAAAATTATCTATCCAAGAACATATAATACTCAAATTGGCATAATAACGTTTTGGTCTTGATTGTCTTTTTATAACAGCTGGGTGGTAGTTTTGTGATCTTAATATTTTAGAAGGAATCCAATATATCGGGTTCAAATTTGTATAAATTCCTGTTATAAATTGTACATTTTGGTTGTTCTCATTAATGGTATCATAGTACTATTCTAAACAACATTTAACAGTAATTCAACAGGCTATTATATAGATAACAATCAATGTTATGTTTTCTAGTCTCGATACATTTTAGTGATCCATTTTGAAGTATGATCATAGAGCTGACTATAGTTGATTATGTTTCCGGAGAGTAAAATTTGGTTATATGTATTAGGCTCTATATCATATATGGAGTATGAAGAATACCATTCTTTCAGGGATTCAAACATGTATCATTTAACATCATACGCCTATAAGCTATCATTGGGATATAATATCAGTGATTGACACCCTTATATGTTCTGAACTGCAGATGTATCTTTTTGCTGAGCGCTAATAAATACGGAGTAATCCAACGTGATAAAATTCCTTAAAAGAGCGCAATTAATGCTCATATGAGCAGTTCAGCTGGCCTTCAGGTACTCTGCAACTGCCCACCATCCCCAGACAACCTGAATAGAACATTGAAGTAGGTCCCCCAACTCTAACCGAAGTTCAAAAGGCTATAGCTAGTCTGAAACGAGGAAGAGCAACTGGTCCAGATGGATTGACTCCAGAGGTCTTTAAGGATGGCGGTCCAGTTTTAGCGATTAGATTGACTAATATTGTAGCTAAAATCTGGGAGTTGGACGTTATCCCATCTGACTGGTTGCAATCACTGATTGCCCCAATATATAAGAAGGGGTCACAATTATCCTGTAATAACCATAGAGGGATTAATTTGACTAATATAGCATCTAAAATACTGACCTCAATAATTATCGGGCACCTAACAAAGACTCATGAACTGCAAACACGTGAAAATAAGGCTGGCTTCAGACCTGGTCGTGGCTGCATCGACCACATATTCACTATTCGTCAGGTTTTAGAACACAGGCATGCTTATCGCCGTCCGACAATGATAGTTTTTCTTTACTTAAAAACAGCATTTGACTGTGGACTGAGAAGTTCTGTGGCAGTATCTATTATTGAAAGGCTTACCTCAGAAGTACATAAACCTCGTGAAGGCTCTTTACTCGAACACTACCAGTCGAGTCAGAGCTTATGGCGAGCTGTCATTTGATTTCGCAACCTCTAGTGGTGTCCGACGTGGCTGTCAAATATCACCATTTTTGTTTAATTCCATCATAAGCCAACTGCTGGAAATAACGTTATTGTCGACTGAATTTTCGGGCGTTGATCTCCTACCAGGAGGTCCACTTATCGACTTAGAATACTCAGATGATATAGTCCTGTTTGGCGAAGACGATGATAAAATGCAGATTCTTTTGGTAGCACTGAGCAACAATGCCACGATATTTGGGATGCGTTTTTCCCCCTCTAAACGCAAATTATTGCTTCAGGACTGGCTTGCGTCAACACCTGAATTAAGGATAGGGAGTTAAGTAGTCGAATGCGTCGCCAACTTCACTTATCTTGGAAGTCTCATCAGCCCTAATGGGTTGGTGTCTGACGAAATCTCTGCACGGATTCAGAAAGCTCGTTTGGCTTTGGCCAATTTACGTCACCTATGGCGAAGGCCAGATATCCGTCTATCAATTAAGGGACGAGTATACTGTTCAGTAGTTCATTCTGTCCTAATTTACGGCTGCGAAACGTGACCATTGACAGTAGAAGATACTCGTAAGTTACTAGTATTTGATCACAGATGTCTTAGAAATATTGCTCACATCTGCTGGGGTCGTCGGGTAAGTAATAGTGAGGTTAGGAAATGATGGTAAATCAGTTGATGAGGTTGTAAATCTTAATCGACTGAGATGGTTGGGCCACGTTTTACGTATGCCTGAACACCGATTAGCACGACGCACAAAGCTGACTGGTGTTGGGGATGGTTGGAAGAAAGTTAAGGGCGGCCGAACCAAAACGTGGCATCAGCTCTCGAAGTCACTAACTTCTCTCAGCCATGTTGGTAGATGCAGACTACTTAGTTGGGGTCCTCGTGACTATCGTAACCAATGGTTGGAGACTGTGTGACAGGGCTCAGAATCGATCATAATGGCGTAGGTGTATACACTCTCTGTCTTCCCTTAAACTGTGAGATTAAAATTGCTTCATATCTTTCTACGAACTAATTCTTTCTTCCTGTACTATATCCTTATATGCAATCTTTCTTTTATATATTACCATCATTGAAGTAATTGCTTCTATGAATTTTGGTGTTTATCTTGTTGTGCTAATGAGGTTTGGCAACTTGGACCGATGTATATATGTGCCTGATCCTACGTTGTAGTTGACTGACACATGGTGCTCTAAAAGTGTTACTATGCAGAACACTAAACATAAAATGTTACTGATTTATTCTTGTGAAGTCTGTAAAAATAATATTGTTTAAACCATTTTCGTAATTTTTTATAACTAACATAATAAATATTCATGACATTTTAAGTTTATTCTTTGTTTTGTTTAAGTTACTTCATTCACGTGACTGAGAAACGTTTCACGTGTTCTTTAGTAGTAGGTAGTGTATAAAAATTTCTGTCCCAAAAATTTATGCTTTGTGCTTATAAATCGTCATGTATGATTAACAGGTGATATCTGCAGATATAGAAAATAACTCAATCTATATGATGAGTACAACGACATTATGACTCAGGACGAAGTATTTACTATATTTTGGGTTATACAAGGCATTCACTATCAAGAGGTCACTCAAAGTATAAACTCGATGTTTTGCGTCCGAGAGTTATTTTGGGGTTGGCATTACCGTGTGTATTAAGCTTCAGTAACTGTTATGTTCTATGACCTGTCAGATATCACGTGACAAGACTTCCAACCAGAATGTCGACTTCTATGACCTCGTTCCTGTGCTAAACCAATGATGCGTTAACCGGCGCGAGCAGCCTTGATTCTACTCTGAGTCCTTATTGGTACTCTGTATAGCAACCTCTCGCCTAGCCCGACCTGCTCAGTCCAGAACACAAATATCAGTCTTCGCTGTATGAATCGTATCTTTCAGACATACTTGGTCTATCTACAAGCAGACTAGACCGCGTCACACCATTAAACGAAAAATAGTTACACAAGACCAAGTCAAAATTGGCTGTATGGTCTACTGCGACTAATAAATTATGAATAAGTTAGAAATGGTAAATCGTATAGCAGTAGACAATAGGGTCAGATGAAGGCTTGTAATCAAAGCTAGTTACTTAATAATTATCCAACAAGAATATATGTAATAATAGTCTATTGATAATTTCTAGCAGTTATCATTCATTTATTCTTCGTTAGGATATAACAATAACATTTTCTTATCGCTGTTGTGATTTACATTATTCTTACACTGCACTATAGAGTTTTCTTTTGGTTTTGATCTCTTTTGTTACCGTTGATAGATGAAATATTTTGGATTATCATAGCGGTATGAAATGCTCTTAGATAATTAGACTGATAGTAGTTATAGTCGTATGAATAGTAACAAATTAATTTTGTTAATCGAAACGGCATTTTCATAACCTGTACTGTCAAGCAAGTTACTTATTGAAATCCACTCGTGCCTCAGCAAATAAACACGATGAATCAACGTGTTTTAAGTCCCCGTAGAGTATTCACTCAACAAGCGATATAATATATCGTAAGTATAGGGTTGTGGAGATTGTTGAGTTTCATTTAAGTTCTAAACTGATCAGTGTTAAACCACCATTGATCCGTTTGTTGTTTCAATGAGGCATGATTTAGTTATGACTGAAAATATAATTTCATTGTATACTATATAAATGAATTTTTGAGATTGGTTTGTCTTTCCCATCTGATCGTTGTCTTTGTTTTTTTATTTGTCTACTTGTCTATGAATTCATCTTAAGTGGCTGAATGTTAAGCTTATTGGTAGTTTTCACTTTTATCCACAGTGTAGGCAGTCGAACTTTTCTGTTACGTTTGTAAAGAGCTTTATTGAAGTAGGTTGTGATAATTAAGATTCAAACTGCATTGAATTGTTTGATTATTAAATTCAATTCTGTTAGTTAAGAACCTTGACAAGATGTATATTGTTGGACTGACGGACTGACTGTCGGAAAAGAACATTTGAACATCAGTGGGATTAGTTAACTCATGATTATTTTTATTTGTTGGCATTCATCTTTTTGAGTATTGAAATAATATTGCTTTTTAATGATCGTTGATTCTTTGCTTTAGCCTCTAGCCTCTATGGTTGCCAAAAAGATACGTGATATATCTGTCAGAGCTCCACGCAAACTGGTGCATATATTTCATATCCTTCAAGCACTTAACACTCGTTTTTCATCCGATCTTCCCTGCTCGTCACCAACATTTGTTGAAGAGTACTTCACGTGTCCATGCAAATGTATCAGCTGTGGTGTTAGATGTTGCTTGAGTGTTAACCATACGTCAAACAATGTCGGTCATAAAGCTGAATATGTGGGTTCCAATGGCGTTAGTGCGTCACCGTGTCGTTACGAACCATCGCTTCAGAATAAACTGTACTTTTGTAAGGTAAGTAAGAAGCTATTGACTAAATAGATTTTCTGGATTCCCACAGATGTCGCTACTATGAGAGTCCTGATTTTATGCGGAAGTCATGTGGTACACGAAAATGTAGTGTACTTACTGGGAATATCTGTATAGAGTATTGTCAAATGAAAGAATTGAAGTCTTTTGAATAATCCTGTTAGAATTTACTCTTTGTGCATTATGATCTTATAATATATATAAGCTATCTCACTATATATATGCACTCACACATATTTTTCTTAATTAATTGGGATTTATCAGCTGAACAGTCACTTTTTTGTTGGTTGTTGTTAAGAAAATCGGAGCTCCAAACATGTGTTACTTTGATTGGTTTAATTTCTTTATACTTGGTAAGTGGTTCTGTCAGTATGGAATGTGGTAGTAGATATGAACTAATCAGCTACCACACCATTGTAGTCCCTTTGCTCCTTTGGCTTCAGATTCCTTCAGCCTCACTTTTAACGTCTCGATATCTTCAATGGAGCTTCACAGGCTTCTGAGTGGACTGTAAATATTTATTTTTGTTTTGTTTAGGTACATAAGCGTGCAGCTATTGTTACTGCAAGGATAGCATTTTTTGGACTATTTCCATTAGTTACAATCAATTTGGGTCACTTTAATCCGTTGTTGTTGCCTTTTAAAATATTTCTAACATAATTGTTTAGCGTGTTGCGCAAAGTATGTATAAATCATTACCTTTGTGTAAATATTAAATATTTTGTTGTATTCAATGAGTTTTTCTTGATATGAAAATCCAATTTTATATTTTTATTATTTCGTTTAAGCTATGTTATGCCTATGGTCAAAAAACAATGATGGTTCCTAAGAGTGGTGAGTCAAATACCAATGCTTTGTCAGCTGTTGTAAAATATCTTTGGGCTGGTTATGTTTTAGAATGCCCAAGGCATGGCACCATCTATCGTAGTCGTGGTTACTGGTCTGGTAACGTAGAGCCAGAAATGAATCCTCAAGTACATTGGGAAATCGTACATGTTTGGCAAGGAGAAAAGTCAATACTCTCGGTAAACTATTTTTCTCAATTCAATATATGTATTACAAATAGTTAATGTAATTTGAAGGAGAAAATATCGTGTACTAGTTTGATGATGTTTCTAGAACTATGATATCAAACGGATAAATAAGTACTAGAGAGACAATATGCTGGACGACAACTATACATATTTTTAAAAAAACATTGACTTACGTGTTATAGCAGACATATTATCATGGTTATTATATAATTATTGTCGAATATATCATTGTGGTAAAGCTTATCATCTAATCATTTGTGAACTAAGGAGTCAGACTGAAACGTTAACCATCATTCGATTATATGAGCTGTCAAATAATATTATTATTCTTCATTTGCTAGGAATGATTCGAGGTAGTACACTAACGTACATGTGGTTTTTGAGTTACGTCGACCTAATAAATTAAGTTTCATGCAGTTTTTTGTTCAAGATTTATTTACTTAACTTGATTACAATTTTAATGGTCTATCTGGAAATATCGGTACTTGTTTCGAATTTACCAAAAACAACTACGCTTTACATTTGGGGTTAATTAGCAAATAAACTGATTTATTTGGACGTCATTTTCAGTTGGGATTTCATAGTATCCAACACAACATTCTTCTATTCTAGTGATTTTATTTAAATAATAAGTATTGAATTATAAGCAGAGTTTGATGGTGTCTAGTAGTGAAATTCAGGACTCGCTTTTCGTCATATTTGAGACTCTTCGGCTGTGTGCATGTATCTCAGGGTTAATCTTCACTCCGGGACTCGGATCCAGTGTCGTTCGTTTCTAACGCCATCGCGTTATTCACTTAGCTACTGAGTCCAGATCGACAATTGCTTGTTCGATGGAATGAAATTTAATTCATTGTGTTGGTTGTCTGAATCTTCCTACTGTTTATAATGCTTGATAAGATCAAGGTAATTCTCACATAATGCCCATATGCCAAAAGAACCTAGTCAGTGAAAAGATTCGAATAACCAATACAAATGAATTATGTATCTAACTGTCGGGAAACATTTAGAATGTCAACAAATTATTTGTTTACCGATCCACTGATATTTTAATATGTATTAGTGAATTATGTGTTATCGTTTTCATTATCATTTAAATTTTATTCTCGTTTGCTAGTAGAAGACCAAGTAATATATGTGATGCTCAAAATTCACGGTTTTTAAATCAAACTAGTTTATTTCATCTAAACTTTCTTCAAAATGTGTTTTGCAAGAATACTCTTTATCTAGGGTATTAGTTTTCATAAAATTGTAGTTTATAAAAAAGGACTTTTATTATTAGTGTTTGCACTTATCATTTGTTTGTACATGTATAAATAATTTAGTTTTTGTTAAGTTCAGAAACGTTTTCTTAATTCCATCGGAGTACAAATATCTTATATGTATTTGTTTCAAGTGATGTCAGTAATCATATTTTTTCTAACATGAATCGTATTATTTCTAAGTTATGTTCATAATACCACCATTACTCTTGTTATTTTAATAATTATTTGATCTTTTTTGTTTACCGAAATCCAGGGTACTCATCCAGTTAGTCAGTTATTGTTAGATGGACTAACTGTCGTTTCTAGTCAAGTAAGTCAGTTGGCTGGTCCTCCAGCACGTCGTTTGGGAGATCTTATTGCTGACAGCGTGGCTCCTCGGTATTGGCAACCTAATTCCAGTATTAAAGCTTGTGCTGTTTGTAAGGTTGAATTTCAAAGTTCATCAGATGATTCTGTTTGCAACCGTAATTCACTTGTTAGACAAAAATCTGCTACCGATAAAAAGCAACCAACACCATCTGTTGTTGATGATAGTTCTCAGAAAGATAAGATGTTTACTGGCAAAGATAATTCAATGCTTAATCGGTCGTCATCATTTTCAGATTCGCTAAATAAAGAGAAAAGTTCTACTAAACCATTAAAACCTTTTATTGATGACTTATCAAAACATCATTGTCGAGCTTGTGGTAGAGGTGTCTGTGCCAAGTGTTCAACTGGCCGTTTACCTGTTCCGGATCAAGGATATGGAAGTGATGGTGTACGTGTTTGTGACCAGTAAGTGTTCGTTTTTCATATGACGTTGAGTAACACTGCATAAAAGCGTGCACGATCAATAATCTTTCAGTTATCTAGTTTCTACCTAAAAACAGATTGTATTCATGTAAGCCTTATATCTTAACTCTGTGCACTGGTTTTTAAAATTTTGTCCTAATATCAGATGTAGCGGCCTTCTACATAGACTTTTCTGACCTTAAAATTCAAGGACATTCAGTTTAAAGTATATTGTTTCTTATAAATGTGTTTAAGTTGGATATCATTTCACACGGAGAAACATTTTGATCAAATTTTTAATAATATTTGATTATATCACTAGGAATCTAGTTTTTAAATACTGTAACTAATTCTGTTTTGCATTGTATGGTAACGACTTCCAAACTCTGCGTTCGTTAATTTTGTGTTGGTGAGTTCTATTACTAGACGTCACACTAAAAATATGATTCATTAATAGATAGACAAATGGGTACCTGGTCATTGATTCAATCTCACATTGGATTGAGCCAAATGAAAAAAATCGCTTCACTGTTAGAAGTTTGAAGGTTTACGATCCTGATAGCACATATTTTTTCCGTAAACTCAGTTTTTAATAAGTCAATTACCATGTGTAGTGTTATTGTTAGTTACGGCTTCTTGTCATCGTAATAGAATCACTTAATATGTTAATCTTTATGTTGTACAGATTCTATCGGATCACATTGGAATTTCTGTGTATATTACATCTCGAAAACACATCTTACATATGATTGTGTATCTGAATGTTCTTTTTTACCGTGATGATATTTAAGGGGGATACATACAGTCACGAAAATAAAACACTACTGGAAGTCGACGAACGTATGTATAAGTTCGGAAACTTTATTTCAGTTTATCTGACAAATATCATTTTATTTTTAAGTGTTATATTGTATTTAACCGTATATTAGCATTCGACTGTGCTGGATATCAGTTAGTTCTCTGCTTCTCTGTGATCTAAAATGATGTAAAAGTTATGTGAAAATTTTAGGCATTTTATTCAAGATGTTTTCTCAGCAGTGTGCATGTACGATTCAACTTATGTGTAACTAACACGTTCTCGGAAAGGGGCTAAGTGGGTCGACTAGATTGGGTAGCACCTACATCTACTGGAGACGGCGAATTCATTTATAAATTTTCTTTAGCCCTTGTCTAATATTGACTGGGGTAAGATTAAGTTGTAGCCTGGTTAAGAATAGATGTCACTTCACAGAGCCTCTAACTGTTTGGAATAGCGTAGGCGGGGGAGTTTGGCTTACTTGTGTGTGGTCTTCAGGTTTATGTTTATCAATGCTTAGAGACAACGTGTGAACTATCTGTGAAACTATAACAATAGTTCAATACACTCTTCTTTTTCTCCGAATTCCCAATATTTTACTACTAATTATTCTGTTTTTCTCTTTATGTATAGTCTACGATCTGCGTTGCGTTTCTCCTTTTATTGTTATGTGTAGCTTCTTGATATTTTTGTGAGGTGTTTGTGTTAGTATTTTCGTTTATCTTTTTGTGTAACTTAAAACTTCATCTAAATAACTTAACTACCTCACTTAAAAATAATGTATAACTCTTGTGTTGTTTGTTGATTTTCTCTAAACTAGTGACAGGCAGAACGATTTTCGTCACAATATCATAAATCTGTTGTGAAACAATGACAAATGTAACTTGTAGATGAGTTCATTTGCTGAAATACAATTTTTGTTTCGTTTGAAATTCTGAATTTCTTATGGATTAGGCTTTTGTTTTCAATTACTCAATGTATAGAAATGTTAATCATCATGGATGGTTATAGTATCATGTCTTTTCTTTCACATGTAACTTCCATTTCAAAGAATTCAAATATTTATATCCTATTTAACCAGTTACTTAAATGAATTCATTAATCTTTTACTACGTTTGTTCAGGTGCTATGATGCTCGATTACAAGATAAAGGTATCGATTCAAAAACTCGTGTATCTGGAATGAATTATAATCCTCAAATCAATAACAATTCTTTAACTGGTCGTAAGGTAATTGAAATGTTGTCTGCTACAGCTGATTACATAGCACCAATATATACTGGACCTAAAGGTATTCTGTACATATTGTTATTACTTTCCACTGTAATTTGAAATGAATCCAATTAATATTGAGTTATTTTGACACATGTCTAACCGGATTTTTGTGAGTAAAAACACGGAACTTTCAGTTTGCTTAGTGTAATGCATGTGTACAATACTGACGTCATATGACCAACTGTATTATGGAGTAAAAAGTACACATATTTGACAAACGATCCTATAATTTTGGTCCTTATTAAGAGAATATTCCCATTTCTTCATGTTATTTGTTGTTAGGGGGAGGCAGACATTTATATGAACTCTGCATCATATATGATGGACTATTTTTGTGTGTGCTGACACTCAACTTTTTAACTTAACTAGAAAGTAATATGTCGTCTTGGTTATTTGTGAGAATTTAATTAATTGTTTTTCATACATAAATAAAATATTAGTCCAAGTACGGTTGATATTCTCCATAATGTAATCTACTTCCTAATTATTTCGAGATGTAGCTTATAGGTCTATTTACACGTCGTTAAATGGTGCTATACACATTTTATCATAAAGAAGATATAGTATATTGAAGTTCATTGAATGTATGATTACAATTTGATGAAATTTTGAAAATGCCTGTATTGACTGTATCAATCTCCGACACTGAACTTGAAAAATCAAAGATTACTCCATAACCCAAGTATAGTATACTATTCGGCTATGAGGTACACTCTCTATATCCTTAGGTTTAGTGAAGCGAATTCTGATTTGCAACCGGTTGATTTCGATCAATAATACACTCATCCATTTATAAACTTTTTCTGAAATCCCACTTAGGTTATTGACTGGGATGTTATAATATATTTCATTCGAGAATTTACGACTACAGTTACATATATCCCCCATTATTCGAAAATCATACTGAGATATTCTTATGAATAGAAAATCTTAAATAATTGTACATTATAACAGTGATGAATTTTATGCCTGTGTTGTGTACAACGATTACATCGTTATTGGTGTATATTTTAACAAAGCATGTGGCTCATTAACGTGGACTTGACATATTAGACCACTATGTAAACGATATTTGCATATGTGACTGTATACTATTTCCTTTATGGACGAATGAATTCAATGATTGGCATTGAAAAATTTTTCATTATAGTGGAATAAGGTACATAGTTTTATCCAATGTGTACATGTTATTCTTGGCTTGTTTCTCATCTACATTCTCCTATTGTCTACTTCGGTTTGGGAACCCGGGCAGTATCACAGCCCTCACACAAATCAAATGAGATCTGTGTGGCGCATATGTATTCGGTGCCTCCTTGTACCAATATCTATGTGTTAAAATAAATCAGTAATAAAACTAATTGTGAGTTTACACAGACCTAAAAAGATATGTACATAAATTTGTCATTATATTTATCATATATTATACAGTTTTCTTCCAGTGTCACGCTCCCAATTTAGTTAATTAATTTCTGAACTTTAACAGGATCTTTTTTTCACTTGTTTCTCTACACAGAGCTCGTTAAATCTCTTGCTCGACCAGATTATTGGCAGCCTGATGATCAATGTGTCTCATGCAACGTATGTTCCGCTCAATTTGGTTCGCGTTTAAGTATTCATCATTGTCGTTCTTGCGGTCAGGGTGTTTGTGGATTTTGTTCACAGCATTATCAACCTGTACCTAAAAGAGGTCTTGATTTCCCTTCGCGCGTGTGCGATCGCTGTTACCAGCCAAACATAAAGAATTATGAATCTTCTCATCGTCCAACTGTATCTGAACACCGAAGCTCGGATTTGGCTAGTAACGTACCAAATCAGCAAATGCAACACCAGAAGCGTAACACTCAAGGGATTCAGTACAACAATCTTAATGTAAACACTGCCCATAAAAGGAATTCCCAGGATTGATTTCACATGTTTCAACTCTGAGGTGTAGTTTATGAATGAGTTTATTTTTTTAACTCTTTAATATTCAGAAAACATTGACGAACAAACACTGGATTCTTACTGCGATAATATTAATGAATTTTACAGGTGACAAGAGGAATATTACCATGTTGCGTAATAATATGTAAATGGTCAGTACTATCATTATTATTCCTATTTTATTTGTTACTACTATCACAGTAGTAGTGCTAACAAAAAGTAACTCAGATTTGTAATTTGATTTTTATTATTTAGCATAAAATGTCAACTTTGATATATCGATGACTATTTATTTCTTTGTTTTATCATTTTCCTCTATAATGCCTATATATTATCTTTGTTGCTTTGTTCGTGTATGTGTATGTATGTATATGTGCCGTATACATACCATTGTTACTACTTTTGTGAATCAGCTTTGGATACTGCTACTTTGAACACTTTCTTTAACTTATTAGATGGGATATTTACTAAAAAGGAGATTTATTTTTTACATAATTCTGGTTATTTTTCCGTAATTCACGATTCTTTGTATGGAAGTCTGTGTATGTTCATTACTGAATAGAAATATGAAGATTTATGTTATCCAGTAATATACTCTGATTTGAATTACATACATTTCGATCGATGATATGGAATAGATCATTCATAAGAGCCAGCTGGATCTAACTAATTCACTTGCCGTGACGTTTAATACTTTTATTTTTACTAAAATGTTATTTCCAAAAAAAACAGTTGTATCCTTACTTAACATGTTTTCATAATGCATAATGCTCTTTATCATTCAGTTATTTCTCCATTTTTCAGTCATTATGATTATTATTATTATTATCGCTGTTGCTAATATCATAGTCATCTCCATAACAATTACAATCACTTATTTTTTTAAGTAAATATATACATTTTCTTTTTGCCAAGATATTAATTGTGTTATGTTTTATTCGTTACTGCTTGTTGAATATTTCAATTTTCACCATTCAATATATAGCAATAGAAACACACAATGCTATACGGAATTGCATAATACTTACATTTCATTTATATATATATATATATATATATATATATATATATATATATATATATATGATTGTTTGAAGATTACGATTTCGTGAATACTTGGGTATATTAACTTGTTGGTTAGGTCATCCCACTCTCAGCTGTTTCATCACAAGTCCGAACCCAGGTTTTTTGGTTTTGCGTTGCCTCATCTTTCACGAAAGGTGTAACTCAACGTTCAATACATGGGCACATATTTGGTGATTAAGTTAGAAATCACCTACTTAAATACTTGTGGACAGTTTTCTGTATCATAATTCCTGTAGAATTAGCATTATGCATTTAATGAAACTGTGTATTTATTTCGTTCTGTTTCGTGGAATCGTTCGTTATACTTTTTAAACGACGGGTATTGCAATATTAAAATCATTATATCTAAAGTGAATTACTGGTACTGAATTGAACTTCAACCAACTCATGGTTTGGTGCAGTTTGTGTCTTTTAACTTAGTGTTGTCATAATAGTATCTTGATATGCTAGTAATTCTGGCAGCAGTTACCTTTAATTTATTGTTATTTTAGCCGGAAAATTCTCAATGGGATATTGTAATTATAAAATTACTGATCAGTGGAGTACTGTTAGCTGGTTAGAGTGACTTCTAATTTTATTCTCTTATTTAGGAATTTTATTATTATTGGATTAGGTCTCAAGTTTAAGAGACTGTAGACCATGCACGTCTTCTAAAATCTTTGATTTCTAACAATACCTAGCATTTTGCAGATTTGTGGGTTTCTAATAGATGGGATCATTAATGTAGAATGCCGAAATCACTGACTTGTTTTTTAAACATGTGAGCATCAAAAGAAAAATATAGGTAATAATATTCCTTCGTATCTTACGGATATTCTATGGGAATTCGTAACATCACAATCCGTCTCTTGGCCGACTGTGACTTCGTAGTCGAAGTTATTAATTCCTTCATACCCTATGTGTTTGTTTTTCTGCACCTTCTTCCGTCTATATTTCTCACTGTCTGATTATTTGTACACTTCTTATTACACAGTTTTAATAAGTTTCAACGATTATTATTTTAATGTCTATTTACTCCAGTTCTGTCTTATTTCAATCTTTGGTAAGAACGTTTGTCATTCTTATCACTAATAGTACACCTGTCTTCGTTTTTAATTTCTGATTATTCTATTTAGCTAGGTTTGATTATAATGATTGAATCATAAGTTGCTTTGAATGGCTTCATATTTTCTGTATATCCACATAAACGTTTCTGTATACTAGTGTCAAGCAGGATGAAGGTCTCATTGAAACAAGATCGTTCGCTTATATGTGTTGTTCTAAGTTTTGAAATGACACATGGTTATTATTGAGAAATCTGTCATCGTATTGATATTTCTTGTGCGCTGGATTACAAAGATGCATGATAATTATTTACCAAACTGATAAATGTTTCGATTTTGCAGCTACCATTAAGTCTTATGTTATCAACTCGATATTATTAGTTTTTTCCCCATACAGACATTATTCTTATTTGATTAACCTTTAAATTCAAAATATTAGAGTCTCAAAAGTTCAGTGATTTGAATTAGAAACGAATACTTATTGTTACTTTGACAAACATAGATCATACATTATTTACATTAATTACTTCGTATTTCGATCCACGCGTTCTCACTTTTCAACATACATATATCTACCTTATTTTCATCATAATGTATAAACTACTACTTAAGTAATAGTAGTTAAATGGCATTTACTTATTCATTTTTACCGTCTAGGTGTTTATTTGATGCTTATTTACGTACTTGGATAAATAAATAAATATTCTAAAAATGGTTACGGAACGAATACCAACTAAGAAGGGTGATTAAGTTAATAATGAAAGGAGTGCACGGTTTAAATGCGTAAGTATTAAAAGCTAAATTGTTTAAAAAAACGCGATACATAGATTGTCACAGGGATTATAAATAATGTGAAACAGCAATGGAGTACCAGTAATTCATAGTAGGGAAAGTTGGAAGTCGAATATGGTTCCAGTGCCTTTACAGAGTGATTAAAATTATCTACAACTAGAGAAAAGAAAATCAAGGATCACGGAATATGAATATCAAACAAATGGTTTCGATAATGTAATGAAAATTACCAGAACTATGTGATATATTAGCGCAATACATTTCGAATAATCTGATCACACATATACTTGTTAAGAGCATTTTATATAAAAACAAAAGGTCAACTAGACTGGAAATAAGGTAGGAGGAGACAATGATAATACTAAGAGTAATAATAACCTGATCACTCTGGATAATAAGCCGATATTACCAGGGTAGGTTTACGGTAAGAACAAACTTTTTGAATACTTAATTTTGTGTGTGACCACACACACAGGGAGGAGCAATCGTGATCTCAAATTAGGGTGTGTGAACATGTAGCAAAATGGTTGCAGAAACAAACAGAATAAAGTGACCCAATAAGAGTAGCAGGTAAACATCCATCATCATCTATTGCTAAACCTGTGATCGAAATAAGAGATAAGATTAATCTTGACTTGGCTTTTGTGGTGTTGTATAAAAGTGTAAAAGGGTGTATACTAAGGTTTATTGGAGCCTTAGCCATACGAAAATTCAACCCCTCGTTGTGTATTTAAAAACAGTTTGTTCTCACCTTAAACCTACCCTGGTAAAATCGGCTTATTATCCAGAGTGATTGGGTTTCAAATTGTATCCACATTATTATTATCATTGTCTCTTATCTCATTTCCAGTCTAGTTGAACTTTTATTTTTATATATAAATGTTCTTAGCAAGTATATGTGTGATCAGATTGTTCGAAATGTATTGCTCTAATATATCACATAGTTCTGATAATCTTCATTTCTTATTACATTATCGAAATTTGTCAAAGGGACTAATTGCTTTAAATAAATGGTTACTAGTTAATAAAAATGCCTTTAGTCTTTATTGGTAATTGTTCTTCATCGGTTAAGTTTCCTATGTGATAACTAATTTGAGAAGTGTTACGCCACGATGACTTTTTCAAGTTAGCTAGTTGGAGACTCTCAAGCAATGTTAATCAAATTATCTTCATCCTAATCGAATGTTAGCTATCATTCCTGTAGTATTTTAAAGAGCCTGAAAATGTGCAATGAAGAAACATAGCTACCGAACAAGAAGTATAATTCTAACTGTTAATCACAATTCATCGTTTAAGAAAATCAAATCATATTTTCATATAGTCTTCATAAATAAACTAGTTAGACTTGTAGAAAGCCACTAAACAAAACTACTCAACACATGAAGAGATGAAACTTGGAAGATCGAACTGTTGATCGTGTAAAACAGAGAAATGAAGCATGTTATGAATAGTAGCGAAATAACCTTTGAAGCTGCGAAGAATAATTACCATTGGTCTAAAAAAATATGGTTTAATTAAACATAAATAAATTAACTTGGTATTAGAAAAAAAACCCATAAAATTCTGTTAATGAAAATCTGACAAACTGTCATTTTGAAATATTGATAATAATAAATTAATTGGGTTAAATGTCTAAATATATTTTTCTAGTAGAATGATACAACATAATGTAAAGTAAATATGTGATTGTTTATATGTTTTATAAAATTTTATCATTTGTATATAGGGTTAATGAAATGGGAAAAACTACAACAACAACATACATTACAGGCAAATCAAAGAACAAATGACGTTTAATTTAAATAACAAACATTGAAGAGAAAATGGAAGACGTTACAACTAACATATACCGTAACAGATACCTAACATATACACTTGACCTATATCAGCTATATATATGTTCGTAAGAGTATTGGTGGAAAAACACTAAGAAAGTAGTTAGCCACCAAAGCGCCACGTAAGAGTGCACCAGCTACTGATGGTGTTAAGAAACCTCATCGTTATCGTCCTGGAACAGTTACCCTACGTGATATGTATATATAGGGCTGTATATGTTATCATCCGAAGTAAGATCCTTAATAACTTGTATATCTGTTTCCATACAAAAGCAATCAAGATAATTAGGTGTAAGTTTCTTTCATAAGCTGTCATGTTAATCCAAGCATTTATGTCATGTGACAAAACTTTTCGATTGGCTAACTGTTGTACTATGTCCATTATTTTTTATTTACGGTATAATTATATTAGTTTGTAGATTGATTTGAATTAACTAAAACTTTGTCTATGTTATTCTGTCATAGTTAGTTTAATGTGAAATGTATTGATTTGTACTCCAATTATTTCAGTCTATACCTTTTTGTATCTAACAGTATCTGATTGACTTTACGTCATTACATCAAGATCAATTAGTTAGTCTACTGTGTAGTATTTCCTGAGCATTTTTATATTTTTTAAAGACGTTATTACTTACCTCAGTGATTTAATACTCAACGGGATTTATCTTAATGAATGTTGTAAATTCATGTGATACGAATAATGATTCTGTCTATAATTTAATACACTCATGTGTCGTATTACTGACTGATTCACATTAATTTAAGGACAGTCAGGTTGTATGAATTTTTATTTGATTGACGAAGTTTTTTCTGTTTGTTTTTCACATGTTGGTTTTTTAATTAAGTATGTATTGTAAGGACATAGGTTAGTCAATAGAAGAAACAAGGATCGATGTATAAAAAGCAAAGATTCTTTATAAATAACAAGGATGAAGAATTGTCCATTCATTAATTATGAAACTTGTTAGAACATAGTGTATTCGAAGAGTAATAGATTTGAAAGCGTAAAAAATTGGTAAGGTCGAACACGGGTGACCGGATAGTCAAACATATACGAAACTAGGGAGTTTTCGTCAACAATTTCGTTTCTTTTAATAGATGCAAAACATTTCTTGTAAATTGTTCCTTACACATATTTAAATTTAGCAAAATAAGGTGAATTCAACGGATTTCTCCAGTTACACACTATTACATTCATACTACTATTATTGTCATTATGATATTTCTCATGAAATCTTATTAGCACGT